GAATTTCATTTATCACGGTAGGGTCTAGAAACGATTAACCGCGATAAATGAGGGATTCACTGTACTTCCGTTGGGTGGAAGTGGAGTTAGAGTATGTGTCATCCCCCCTCAACCCCTTTTTTCTTTTTCAAAATTGCCATCATAGGACACTTTACCTTTTCAATTAAAAATATATCTACTCATAGGATGATCTAGTGCTAAGCACTTGCCCTGCTTCTGAAACGATTGTAGTTGCAGACAATTCCACCTCATTCATACACTGAGTATGACTGTAGCAATATATTCATTGACTACTCATGGCCGGGGTACAAGCCTCGTTTTCAATCTTTACCATAGATCTGTGAACTAGGTAAATGACTTCAGATTTTGTTAGTTCCAAATCATCTAGGGTAGTGACGTTAAGAAAAAAAAATCAATTTTTTATTTTAAGGAAGCAGGGTCTCTTACAGGCTCTGAGCAGCTGGTCTTAGTCAGTCCCTAGAACCGAGGAGGCCAATGTATAAGACTCTTTCTGTTTCCACCCCTCCTCCTCTCGGGGCCTCTGTTTAAGTCCTCTCTGTGGTCAGATTTCTCTATTTCCCATACACACAGGAACATGGGGCTACCGACAGCTGTTGACTCTGCTTAGTCTAGTGACAGAGGCAAAGACTCAGGAGCGACCTCTTTGGTCGCAATTCCTAATTCATGAGGTAGGGACTGATTGTCTAGCTTGGGTCAGCCTGTGAGCCAGTCGTGTGGGAAGGGGGAGGGGCTGTATCAGGCTGTACAAGGTGGCTGCTAGAATATACTTACATACGTTACTTAGATGAAGCGGGAAGACAGGAGAGCTTGCAGAGAAAGTGCATGAAAGTGAATGGATGACGGGGTGCCAAATAATTGGAAATATATCTATATATCGCTATCTCTATATCTATCTATCTATCTATCTATCTATCCATCCCAAGTCACACACACACAATTGGATCAGGCCATTATGATCCACAGACTTTCCATTGGCTGATTCTTGGAAGTAGATCACCAGGCCTTTCTTCCTAGTCTGTCTTCATCTGGAGGCTCAGCCGCACCTTGTTCAGCATCATAAAAACACACAAGCGTCCCCTGGCAGTGCAGTGGTGACAGTGCACGGAAATGCATTGACTGGGAATCGAACCCTGGACTCCTATAAAACCCAAACTAAATCCACTGCCATGTAGTCGACTTCAACTCATCGAGACTATGGGACTATGAGAGCCTGTCGGACCCTGTTAGAACTGCCCCGGTGGGTTCCCAAGGCTGTGATTCTTTCAGGAACTGACCACCGCATCTTCTGACGCCCTAGGTATGACTGTTCCTCTTTCTGCAGAGAAGGACCCTGAAGCTTCTCACTGCCAGCGAGTGGATTCGGACTCCTACTTACCCTGTAGGACAGGGTACAACTGCCCCCTGTGAGTTTCTGCACTCTTTATAGAAAACCCTCTCTTTCTCCCGTGGACTGCCTGGTGGTTTCGAACTGCTGGACTTGCGGTGAGCGCCCAACATGTAAATACTACGCCACCAGGGCTCCTTTCAGAAAATGTGGGTAATATTTAAGGTCACGCAGCTGGAAAACAGAGCTGGAACTCAAACCTACGCCCGCTTCTCTCCGAAGGCCACTCCCCGCCACACCGCCACACACATCCTGCTCAGTGCCTGTTTGTGAGGCTCAGACTGTCCCAGGCAGAGGGGACAGACAGTGTGTGCAAAGATCTAGAGGCAAAAGTCCAGTGGACCTCAGGCATGGAAAGGAAGTTCAGTGTGACCGGAGCACACGGAGGGAGGAGGGACATGCCTGGGATCAAATCCAGCAAGGAGAGCCTATAAATAGGGCGTTTGGACTTTGACCCGAGGGTGGTGACACACAGTGGAGGGCATGACAGAATAACAATTGGTAATCTACAGGGACCCTTGCAGCTGCGCGATGAAGGATGAACTGAATGACAGCGTTCAAGAAGAGATCCAGCCAACCAGGGTGAGAAACGCAGGAAGCTGGGATCAGGCTGGTGGGTTTGAGAAAGAATTGGGCGTTGGAGTAAATGGACAGGACTTTGTGGGGACTGAATTTGAGGGAGGGGGTGAGGAGGAAGATCATGAATGAGTTTTATGTGTTTGTTTGGACGAGCAGGACAGGTTTGGGGTGAAAGATGAGGGGTCTGTTTCGGAAGGAAGAGTTTGAGATGCCCGGGAGACAGCCAAGAAGGCAGCTAGGCTTTGGATCTGGAGCTCAGGATGGAGGTGTGGGCTGGAGACACAGGTTTGAAAGCCTTCCGTGGTCCTGATAATGGCAGGTAGGCAGAGTTCACCCAGGAAGTGCGAGTAGAGGGAGGAGATAAAGAGGCCCTGGTGTAGACACTAGGTGGGCCAGCTTTGACGGGAGCCACAGAGAAGTCTGGGAAGGAGCCGTCCAAGCAGAAGGAGGGACACCCAGAGGCAGGAGCGGTCTGTAGTGAGAGGACCAGTTAACTCAAGTTAAATTGGGAAGGGCTGAGGAGGGGCCACTGACCGGGTTTAGCAACCCAAAGGCCAGTGGTAAGTGGTAGAGCTCAGTTTCCCTGGCAGAGCCAGAAGGCAGTAGGCTGAGGGGGGAGTGGGAGGTGAAGGAGCGGAGACAGAGTGTCGCTGCCTCTTCCAATAAATGTGACCCCACAGGGGAGCGGGGAGAGATTGGGGTGGGTTGAGAAGGTGCGGGGTGGAGGGGCTTTTGTTTGGGGAGAAGGACCAGCTAGAGAAGGGAGAGTTGAGGGCCCCTTCAGGAAAAATCAACAACCAAACCAAACTCACGGCCACGGAGTTGACAGTTGGCGCCAACCCCTAGGAACAGCTATGGGACCAGGTAGAACTGCCCCTGTGGGTTTCCGAGACTGTCACTCTTAACAGGTGTCCTGAGAAGCGGCTGGTAGTTTCAAACTTCCGACCTTGGGGTTTGCAGCCCAACATGTGTCACTATACACCACCAGGGCTCCCTCAGGAAAGCGAGGGTCACTGAAAAGGAGGAACTGGCAGGGGGAACCTGAGAGGAGCCATAGGGAAGGACCTGAGGTTGGTGTTAGCTGTGGAGGGCGTTTTCTGCACGTAGGAAGAGGCAGCATTCTCCTCTCAGAGGAGAGAGGATTTTGGTTGCCTGAGTGGAATCGAAGGTTTGGACTTGGCAATGGAGACCTGGGCATCCCATCTCTCTAGTTAGAAAGATCACTCACTCACTCACTGCCACTGAGCCTATACCAACGATGCTACAGTACAGGGTAGAACTGCGTCAGTGGGTCTCTGAGACTGTAACTCTTTATGGGAGTAGACAGCCTCATCTTTGTTCCACATAGCAGCTGGTGGTTTCGAACTGCTGACCTTGCCGATAGCAGCTCAATGTGTCACCCCTATGTCACCAGGGCTACTGCCTAGCAGAGTCACACTGCATGTGTTTTTGCCTTCATGCTATGGGGTCAAAGTCTCAAAGCCACAGCTGAGAGAAATAAAGTGCAAATCTGAGAGCACTGTGGCAAGGCTGATTTGAATGAGGGAATATTGGTTTTAAGAAAGAGTAATGTATTCATTTCAGGTGCATACAGTAACACAAAATATCACTTAGTGATTAGGAAAGCATCACTTGTAATTAGCATAGAAATTGTTGGGAATATGAATTAGTGTTTCTGAAGTACTTGACTATGCTTAAAGACAGTTCTTTAGTATTTTAAGAATTCCCCTTGTAGGGTGAAACCACTTTATATCTATTTTAAGACCTTGTTAAATCTGCTGCAGTATAGTTAGTTAATTTTTTTTTTCTGGAAAAGATACCAGTTACATGAGAAAACTGTTTACTTGGCAAAGGTCCGGTTGTGCAAGTGTACTGCTTCAGCCAGTTCCAAAGGCCACGTTCACCAGAGAGCAGTTGTCCTGAGGTTGTTACTAAGGAAACAGTAGGCGCGAATGCAAATTCCATTTCATAAAAGGCGTCACTGAACTACTGATGGACTGGGAGCAGCCAGTGATGCAGATCATAAGTCTTTTTAAAAATAAATACGTCTATATTTCAATTAACACAACAATTATTCAAACTTATTCACCAGCCACGAATGCCAAAGATGGAAGAAGAAAAAAAGCGAAGATGTTTACCAACTTCTGCAGTCTAAAACTGATGTCATCAAGAGACATTGAGAAGCACTGGTGATTGGAATGCAAACATAGGGAACAAAGAAAAGCATCGTACTGGGGAAATAGGGTCTTGGGGACGGAAGCAGTGGCAGAGATCACAGAGAGAGTGTGCACAATCAAGGGCTTATTCATGGCAAATACCTGTTTTCAACCACCTGAACTTTGGCCAGACGCATGGGCCTCCCCAGATGAAATACCCAGGAACCAAGTGGACCCCATCTGTGGGAGGAGATGATGGGGAAGCTCCGTATCTCAGCCAGAACCGGGCTAGGGACCAACTGCAAGACTGATGGTCAATTGCTCAGATGCTGAAGCTGAAGAAAATTTAAAAAAGTCTGTGAGAGCCAAGATCCGACCTTGAGGGCACCCTACCCGAATTAAGAGACCATTTCCAGAATTGATGTGAGGCCCTGGCCACGCATGACAAAAGAGGTGCATACATCAAGAAAGCAAGCGTGTCATGGGAAAGACAGAAAAGACCAAGGCCTGACACTTGTTCTTGCACCTACAGAAGGAGCTGAGTAGAAGCCGTCCCAAGGAGGCTTTGGAAGACTAAGAACAGTATTATATAAGGAAATGTGCAAAGACCTGGAGTTAGGAAACCCAATGAGAAGAACAAGTTTGGCATTTCTCAAGCTGAAAGATTGAAGACACAAAGCCATGAGTTGCAAACTTTGAGGATTCGATGGGCAAAATAGGAGCCTGTGTTGTAGTGGGCTGCAAGGCCAGCAGTTTGAACCCACCAGCAGCTCCAGGGGAGAAAGATGAGGCTGTCTCTTCCTGTAAACATGTACCATCTCAGAAACACCATAGTGTTTAATGAGTGGATAATGAAGGCGGGAGGCGGGAGGGAGCACGAGAACTGATTGCGGTTGCACGGCTCATTTTGAAGGCGATTTAATCATGGTAGGGGGAATGCTCTAAGATCGATGTGGTGGTGATTGTACAATTCCATGATTGTACGGTTGAACGATTCAGTTGCATGATATGTAAATGATGTGCCAATAAAACTGTTGGAAGAAACGCAATGAAGTAGTTCTACTTAGCTCTGTAGGGTCACTACGAGTCAGAACCAACTCGCTGTTAGTGGGTTTGGTTTGGTTTATGGGTAAAATTTTGAAAGACGCAGGAGGAATCAAAAGAAGATGACAGAGTCATTGTACCCAAAAGAATTTGTCAGCGTTCAACCATTTTAAGAGATGGCACATGATCACTGACCGATGGTGCTGAAGGAAGTCCAAGCAGCACCGAAGGTAAAAGCAGGGATCCAGGAATTGACAGAAGACCAATGGAAATGTTTCAACAAGCTGGAGAACCACTAGAAGCACTCATTCGTGGCCACCAAAAATTTGGAAGATAGCTACCTGGACAACCAAGTGGAAGAGATCTTTTCTGCGAGCATTCCAAAGAAAGGTGACCTAACAGGATGTGGAACTTGTCAAAACAAGATCATTATCATCACCTTGGAGGAATTCAAACCAGATTCAGAAGAGGCCACAGCAGGAGAGCTCTCATTGCTGACATCAGGTGGGTCTTGACTGAAACAGAGAACACCAGAAAGATGTCTGCTTGTGTTTTATTGACTATGAAAAGACATTTGATGGCATGGAGCATAACAACGTATGGATAACAATGAGCAAAAATAGGAATTCCAGAACACTTGATTACGCTCATGTGACCAAGAGCAGTCATACGAACAGAACAAAGGAGCGCTGAGTGCATGGTTTAAAATCAGGAAGAGTGTGTGCAAGGTTCGCATCCTCTAGCCCTACGAATTCAATCTGTATCTGAGGAACTGGATTATATGAAGACGATGACATGCCATCTGGAGTAGATGGCATCAGGATGATTACCAACCTGAAACATGATGACCCAGGAGGACTTGAAGCCCTTGCTGATGAAGGTCAAGATCTGCAGTCATCAGCACGGAGCACAACCCAATGTAAGGAAAGCCCAAACCCTCACAATTGGACCAGCAAATAACACAAATATATGGAGAAAAGACGGAAGCTGTCAAGGATTTCCTCTTGGGTGGCTCCACAATCAATTCTCATGGAAGCGGCAGTCAAGAAATCCAAAGGTGGATTGCATCCGGTAAATCTGCTGCACAAGACCTCTGTAAGGTGCTGAAGAGCAAGGGGAGTCACTCGGAGGACCCAAGCCGCGGTGTTCTCCGTTGCCTCATAGGCATGGGAGAACGGGGCACGGGTCAGGAAGACTGTAGAAGAATCGATGCATTTGAATCACAGCGCTGGCAAAGAACGTTGAAAGGACTGTGACTGCCAGAGGAGCCAACACCTTTGTCTTCCAAGGACAGCCAGAATCCTCCGTAGAGGCAAGGATAGCAAGGCTTTAGCTCATGTACTTTGGACACGTTTTCAGGAGGCAGCAGCCTCTCCTGAAGACATCATGCTTGGAAAGTAGAGGGTCAGCAATACAGAGGAAGACCCTCCAAGAGGCAGAGTGGCACAGTGGCCGTGACAATGGCTCAACTATAACAACAGTGGTGAGGACGGGCAGCATGGGGCAGGCACTTAGGGGTCGCTATGAGTTGGAACCGGCTCAAGGACACCTACCTAGATAGAGAGAGCCCAGACTTTCACCTTGCCCTGTAGCTTCCTCCTTTTACTAGCTGCTGCAAGATGAGAAATCTCTTCGCTGATAGAAATGAAACTAATCATGCCATTTCTGTATACAGATACATCTGCATCTACACACAAGAGATATTTGAGGGTGCGTCACACAATTCATGGCTACGATCTTTGGGACGATCACCAGGCCTTTCTTCTGACGCGCCTCACAGTGGATTTGAACCCCTCACTTTTCACCCCGTCGTCAAGCACTTAACTGGTCGGTGCCTTCTGTGGAAACCAGAAGCTTTTCCCTGTCTAGCTGTTGCCCAGAGGGGAGAGGAGGCCTGAAGGATTAGAGAACAGAGAGCTGGGGAAGGGTTCTTCCCTTTTCTCCGCTCTTGCTTGAGAGAGAAACAAAGCCAGAGGCCTCACCACCTAGCCAGCCCGCAGCTCTGCAGAGCTCAAGCCCCCCAAACCATTGGCGAGGATAGCATCATATCATTGGTATTATTGTTATTTATTGAATACCAGTTCTGTCCAAGTCCTTAACCCGACAGGGCCACTCATCCTCATAACAACTTTATGAAGCAGTGTCACCCCCATTTCAAAATAAGGGCACTTGCTGGAAACGTTTGCTCTCAGATCATCTTTAAACCAAAAACCCTGGAGTCTTCTTCTGAAACCCAGACAGTAGTTTAGCTTCATGAGTAAAGGATGTCTGTCTTGGGCATTAGGCTCTTAAGAACTATCTCTGTGGGATCAGACGGACAATAGCAACTCCCAGAGATAAGATGGGAACCCCACCCCCACCTGAGGGAGCAGGGAGTGAATGGAGGAGGGACAGGGGGCATGTAGAAACTTGAATTTGTGTGTGTGTGTGTGTGTGTGTGTGTGTGTGTGTGTGTGTGTGTTGGCCCTCATCAATAACAAATTGATTTCTTTTTTTTAAGGTTGAAAAAAAGGGTGGTGGTGGAGATTGAGCCCCTGGAAGTTCTGTTTTAAAAGAAAAGATTACAAACTTGTCAGAAGTGGCGAAGTCAGGCTCAAACTCTCTCTGTGTTCACCTCCCCACCCCCCCCCTTCTTTCATAAGGGCCACTGGTTAATTAGGGAGAGGCACGGTATCCACATTGACCAGTCCAAATCCTAGACCTGACAAGCAACAGAAGGAGCGTATCCCTATAGCTTTGTGTCTTACGATCTGTGCTTGAAGGATCTTGGTGACGTTTTCCCCCACCCCTAGGTCACAAGGTTGTTCTCTGACATTTTCTTTCATTGGCCAAGTTTTTGCCTTTCCCCTGGAGGTCCTTAATTCCACTCAGAGCCCCTCTTTGTAGGTGTTGTGAGGCAGGGACCCAACTGCATTTCTTCCTGCAAACGGTGATCCCATCTTCCCCACACTGCCTAGCCTCGCTCGCTGCATTATCATCGTAGCTTTATCGAGATGTAATCTACACCAGATACAAAAATTAACTCAAAATGGGTCAATGACATGAACAGAAGAGCTAAAATAAAACCATAACACTCTTCGAAGAAAGCATGGGGGTAAATCGTCAGGGGCCTGTAAGTATGTGTCTATTTATTTATTTATTTATCCTTGTACTGAGCAATGGATTCTTAGATACAACACCAAAAGCACAATCAACAACAACAACAACAAAATGTCCACACAGAGAGATCATTCACATGCCAAACAGGCCCGCCATTGAATGTGTGGTAAAAAACACTGTAAAGGCTCTTGATGTGCCGGTATGGGAAGGGCTCCAAGATATATTATGAAGTGAGAACAAGGAAGTCCAGGATGGTGCATATAATCTGCTACATTTTGGGTGAAGGGAGACACCAGACAGTGTAAGACATGACACAATAATAATAATTTATAAATTATCAAGGGTTCGTGAGGGAGGGGTAGCAGGGAGGGAGGGTAAAAATGAGGAGCTGATACCAAGGGCTCAAGTAAGAAAGCAAATGTTTTGAAAATGATGAGGGCAACAAATGTACAAATGTGCTTGACACAATGGACGGATGGATGAATTGTGATATGAATTATCCAAGCCTCCAATAAAGTGATTTTTAAAAGGGGAAAACAGATGAATTGATAATTAATAAATAATAATAATCTGCTACTTCCGCACAACAGGAGGACAAGGATCCACATTCAAAGTCCCGTCCATAGATCTAAAGAAACTCTGAAGGGACAGAGGCAAAAGAGTCTAAGACCAGGGGCTTGAGGGGCCGGGGGTTTCAGTCGATAGGAGGACAGGTTGAAGGGAGACAGTACAAGTGGCATGGGAGCAGCACCTGGCCACCTCTAACTTCAGGGGAAGGAGAGGGGGTCCAGCTCATTAGCACCAACCATCACGTAGGCGGATTCCAACTTTCGCACCAGTTGTGACACCAACCTCCCCTCCCAGGGCACTCCGCTTCTCTGGTGGGCTCGATGAGCCTGGGATGACTATACAGAATCACAGACAAGTCTCACTGTCATGGGGCTGGTTAGGGGAGGAGCAGGTCACAGTTCAGGATCAGAAATGCTCAGGATACCGTTCTTCAATCAAGGCAAGCTCCTCTCCGCTGTCCTTACTATTCTCTGGCCCTTGGTCCTTTGGTCTGGCGCTCTTGAGCAAGGGTTATAAGGCTTTTAGTTCTGCTGGTTAAGGTCCCGGCTCCACCTTCTGTCTGTAGTCACTCAGCTTTCTCGCTCCATGGACCGGAAGCCCGTGGCTCTGACTCCCGCCAGTTCTGGTCTCCGCTGCTCCTCTGCTGTTGTTTCTTCTCATCTTCTTTCCACACCTGTAGTTATAGCTCTCTGTCTCCTGGTTAGGGAGGGAACCACACGGGGATCTCATGTCCAAAGGACACACTCTACTCCTTGCTCTTATTTCTTGATGGTTGTGAGATTCCTTTTTGCCTCTGGGATGGCTCATTTAAGCCTAGAAGGATGGAAAAAATGACCCTGCCCCAGGCAAGAGTTCTCTATACCTTATTTGCATGGTCCCATCCTGCAAGAGTGGCATGGCCGTTATTTACTTTGTTAGCAAGCTATCTAGTCCCTTCATACTCCCATATGCTCAGTCCTGGCCAGTCATTTGGTGAGAAGTTACAAAGACTTAATCTAGAAGAGGCATCTCTAGCCACAGACATGACATACCACTGTCATATCTAGTCACAGAGACATACCACTGTCTACCTGTTTGACACTTGGTTTCTGAGCCCCACGAATGCATGGCCCATTCTAAAGCAGCGTAAGGAAAAATTAGCTTCGATGTTCATGAGTTTGCATTCTTCCATATATACAATTTAGGATACGTTTGTTGAATTCCATGAAGGAGGAAGAGGAGGAGGAAGAGAAGAAGAAATAACTGTGGGAATGGGACGTCAGAAAGCGAGGGCCTCATTTTGCAGAAGGCTATGATGACAACGGTGAAAGCCCAAAATCCATTTGCAGGGTCTCCACGGCTGAGCCTCGGTTGAACTCCTTAGGCCCGTTGAGCAGAGAGATGTGAGGAGCCTGCCTATCAGACAGAGTCCCTGGGGAAGAAGACTGCTGCAGGTATGGTTAAGTCAACACTTTACATCTTATCATTTTTTCCCCTTTTGACCCATTTCTCATTTGTTCTGGTTTTTATTATTTTCTGCTTTCCTTAAGATAAAGGTTTTTCTGCGTTTTGCTTTATTGGTGGTAGTGGTGTTGCTTTGTTTTTTGGTATGATTTTGTTTACATGAAATCCAGGATAGGTACATCTAGAGTAAGGTGACCAGATTTAAAGCAGGACACCATTGACCGGGGTGTGGGGGTGTTCTTGATTAAAAATGTGGTCTATATGGACCAAATAGACCGTTCCCTAGCTTGTCGTGCATTCTTTCCAAAAATCGGGACTTTTTAAAAACGCCAAAAGCGGGACGTCTGGTCACCTTAATCTAGAGAGAACAACTAGACGTGTAGCTGCTTCGGGTTGTGTCGGGGAGCTTGGGGGGAAACCGCGAGCGAATAAGCTCAAGAAAATGCGCTACCTTTGATTGTGTGCGGACGGCACGACTCTCTAACATGTTTAAACTGTTAAATTGTACAGTGAGTGAATCATATATTAATAAAACTGTCAAAGTAATCATAAAACGCGAAAAGAAGCGAGTGCCGAAGCAGGGATAAGCCCTGGTGACGCGGTACCCCAGACCGTGCGTGGTTGGGCATTTACGAGAAGGTTGCTGAGTTGTAAGCGGCTGTTGGTTTTCTGCAAGATGCTGGTCATGTCCACCCATCTGTTTCACTCCTTTCCGTTTGGCTGACCTTTTTTTTTTTTTTTTTTAAGCAAAGTCCATCTTTCAGGGAGAGAGAAAGAAACTGATTGATGATCGCTTCTCCCCCAAATCCTCTCTTCGCGGGCCATGTCTTCTCGCTGCAACGTGCCAGGCACAGCCTCATCGCCCCACCTGGTGGCAGGTTACCTTACCTGCAGGGAAGGCCGCCTGCGTCGGGCTGAGTTTGCGGACCCACGCCCAGGAAGGGCCACACTTGTTTTCTTTCGTTCTTTTCCTAAACAACATCAATCCAGCGACTTGTCCTGATGGTCGTAGATCCCAAATTAGTGGAGTCAACACTAATGAGGTTTTTCGGGAATGAGTCTGAGACCAAACATGATGGAAAATCCACTAATCAACTACAGAGGACCAAGTCACCAAATCATGGCTCCGGCCCAGGGCTTCTGGGTAGAGACAGGTGCGACGACCTGCGGGGCCCACTGCCCTTCCTGCTTCCTCTACCCTGTGCCCTGGGCTCGGGGCCTCTTAGCACCCAGCGCCTCCTGCCTCTCCCCCCTCTTCCCCCACCAAGGCTGAGCCGGGTCTCCCTTCAGAGGGCCCAGTACGTCTTAAGGCGAAATTTCCTGGAAATTATGAAATAGGACCCGCAGTAGCGATGTTTTCTCCCCAGTTCTGGGAGGTGGTGAGGGGGCGGGTGCTGAGGGAAGGAAGAGTGGTAGAAGAGGCAGACAAAATGCACATTCTACTCAGGTCTGTCAATTTCCTTTCTTCATCTCCTTATCAGTGTTTATGACTGAGCTTCTTATCAACAGGAAACGCCTGCCTGCGGTGGGGGGGGGGGGGGGCAGGTCCAGGGGGACCTTGCACCAGGCATTGGGAATTGTGGGAAAAGCATTGCTGCTGACCAGCCTGACCGATCTCCAGAAGGCAGTAAGTCTCCCAGACTCTGCCTTGGCATCTGGTTGGCTCCTTGGATCTGCATGGGCAGACAGCACCCCAGGTGGGCCCTGGGGCAGAGGGTCTGCTGGAGGGAGCTCGGGGTGGCACAGTGAAATGAGAATTGTCCTTTGCCCACCAGGCCTCCAAGTCGTTCTCTCTAGGTGGGGGAATTGACACAAGTGAAGCAAATACAGGGTCAGGGTGACAGACAGTCAGAGGATCCCACCTGGCCCTGCTTTGCCTCTGAGCCCTCCAAGGATAGCGCCTGTGCTGGGTGTCCAGACGCCTGGGGACAATTAGGTGCATGGCACAGGCTCCCAGATAAAGCAGAACAGGTGGACTCTGGCTTTGATCAGCCTCTTATGATGAACCAGGAGCCTGATCCTCCGACCAGGGGCCTGCTCTTCCAAGTGGGGCTCCAGGAGAGAGAAGAGGGACGGACGGACGGACGGAGAGCTACATATCCCCAGAAGCACACAGTGAGTCTTCGAGTTGGAAAGAAATGCCCACAAGGAGTACCCTAGGGGAAGCAGGGCTGCATGAGCGACTGGGAGGAACAGGTTTCCCAGACATCTTTCTTCAAACTTGCAGACTTGAACTTGAACAGAGAGTACGGGAACTGGCTGTTCTCCGGGTACATCAAGTGGGAAATGTTTGCGGAGAGCAGAAGATGGGCTACCTGGCATGCCATCCCTCACCCTCTGCCCACCCGTCCCCTGCCCTTGAGCAGCCACGCTCTGCTTTCAGAGGCGGCGGCGGTGGAAGTGGCAACAGGAAATTCCCGTGTGCCTCTTGCTCTGGCCCAGTATCTCCCCATCTCCCTGGACAACCCCACTCCCCCCATCACCATTTGCTTCTGCAGCCGGGGATCTAGGTCAGTAAGAGTGGGTGGGTGAGAAGACAGAAGAGACTCATCCAGACATGACACCCCGTAGGGCAGCAGTGACAACATTTTAACCTGAAAACTGCCTGAAAATAGACTGTGTGTCTATGCCATTATGCAAATCATATGCAAAGTCAAGAAGCCCTCTGTCTCTATTTCTAGCAAACTGTATGTGGCCCTGGTAGAAGCAGCTAGTTCCAAGAGTCGCCCACCCGGAGTGACTGACGAGGGCAGAGTTAGCCTTGGTCTCAGCACTGGAGACTAGACTCAGCATGTGGACCCCCACCCCCTCCCCAGGGCCAGCTCTCCCAGAATGAGCACTTCGCTACCTTTTAGGCTGTAAATCGTGGTGTTCCTGAAGATATGGAGGTGGTAGAACAGTCTCCTTGAAGGCTAATTGAGGTGGGACTGAGAGTGAATGGTGCTGGGAGGGGGGAGAAAACTGACCTGGGTACCACGCAGACTTGATGGGGGAAGGAGTGGTCCCAGGTCCAGGGCCCTTGCTCCAGGACTGCCTCCACCCCGTTTTAGCAGGTTAAGGACACCCACCACCTCTCGGATCCTGTCCTTACCACCCAGCCAATCTTCTCCTTGATTGACATAGGGACACTGAAGCCCAGGGTCCCCCAGGGACTCGAGGTAAGGAAGCAAAGAGGGCAGTGAGTTTTCTCCTTTCAAAAGCTCCAGTGAGGCACTACACGGGCTGGATAGGATGGCCCCACGGGACACCTCAAACCTTGGATGACATCAAGCCAAGCCAAGTCTCCTTCCCCAGACCCCCAGCTTCATGTAGCTCCTCTTCCTGCAAGTTTTCTACTGTCTTTCTCTCTACTCCCCAACCACAGGGTAGACATGGGGGTGGGGATGGAAGGAGCAGGGTCTGTCAGCTGCAAGGGGAGGGGAAAGCTGCCTTGGAGGACTGGGAGAACGGCCTCATTTCTGAAAAGCTGGGGCTCCCTGGAAGGCATTGTCGGTGGCGGGCCCTCCAGGAAGCCAGGTAGTGGAAGACTCCAGGAGGCTCCAGGGAAGTAGGTAAGGTCTTCCTCGGTAAAATGCATTGGGGGTGTGCTCCTTGGGGCTCCTGAAAACCGGAATGAAACTGGTCGCCATGGAGTGGTCCCCGAGTCCTGGTGAGCTCACCTGTTACAGGTGGACCTGCCCCACAGGCTCCTCCTGGCTGTAATCTTTAGGGAAGCAGGTCCCAAGTTGTCTGCTATGGCGCCAGTGGGTGGTGGGTTCAAACCACTAACCTGGAGATGAGTAGCCCAGAATGAACCAGCTGCATTGCTCAGGGAGGACCTTCAGGTTGCCTTAAGAGCCATGGAGTCCAACTCACAGCGACCCCATAGGGTGAGGTAGAACTGCCCCTGTGGGTTTCCAAGACTGTAACTCTTTACTGGAGTAAAAAGCCCCATCTTTCCCCCACAGAGAGACGATGAAAGCCCAATGTGCCCAACCCTCTGTACCACCAAGGCCCATCCAGGTCTCCGTAAGAAGGCCTCTAGTACAAAAGCCTAGCTTTTCTAGGCCCAGGGAGTCCTTGTTTCCTGGAGCCCTGGTAGCAGAGTGGGTACACATTGGGCTGCTAACTGAGAGGTTAGCAGTTTGAAACCGCCAGCCACCCGGGAAGAAGATGAGGCTCTCCCTTTGACCGATGTTAAAGTTGTTTACATTGATTTAACCTGAAAGGGAAATCCATGTGGAATAAGCCCCTGGTGAGCCCCCTCTGACCACGGACCAGGAAAGTGGACTGTGGCAGATGCAGTCAGGTGACAACTTAGCATCCTGCCACGTGATCTCCCTTACGATCCATTTAAATTCATTCTAGTTTTGAATATTTTCTGTTAGCTTTTCAATTGAGGTTGTTATCTGTTTTACTTTGTTATTGTTGTTTGTTTTTCAAATGTTTTTCTATATGAAATCCAGGATAGGTAAATCTATAGAGACAGTATTGGATTAATGGTTCCTTGGGAGTGTGGCAGGAGAGGTTGGGGGGAAACAGGGAGTTAAGAAAGATGAGTACAAGAATGGAGAAAATGTTCTGAAAACGGTGGTGATGATTGTACAACTCTTCTCTATGTGACTGAACTATTGAATTGTATGATATGTGAATTACATGCCAAGAAAATATTCTTTTTTTTTTTAAGCGTTAGTCTTGGAAACCCACAGGGGGCATTTCTAGCCTGTCCTATAGGGTCACCATGCATGAGTCAGAATTGTCTAGCCTGCGGCGAGGTTTTTTTTCTTCTTTTAGCATCTGCCTCCTCTCCAGGAAGTCCTCCCTCTGTCCCCACCCACCAGCACCCCGGTCTTCTGGGTGAGAGGTGGAAGAGGAGGGCGGCGTGCTGTGTAAGCCCAGGAGATGGTTCCCGGGTCAGAGAACTCTTTCCCATAGGGAATAGGCCTTGCGTCAGGCGAAGTGAGGATTTCATTAGAGGAGAGAATTGAGGTCAGGGAATTGAGGTAGGCGGAGGAGACAGGTACTGTTTCCAGCGGGCAGTCCCTGCAAACTGAAGCTAGCTTGGGGCGCGGGGCGGAGATCCCCAGCCTGCTGGGAAGGCCCCCGGGGCCCCAGACGTGGGAGCGAGGCAGCTGCCAGATAGCCTGTCGGCCAGCAGAGGGCGGTGTGGCGGGCGCTGCTTCCCACCCAGGGTCGGAACTGAGGCGGGGCCCGGGCGGGGCGGGGCCCGGTGGGATGCGGAGCAGGAGGTACCCGGGAGCCTTAGCCTTCCCCATCCCATCAGAGCCCTTCTGGATGGGTACAGAGACGCTAGCCTGGAAAGAGTGCAGGAGCTCAGGATTCAACCTTCGTTTATTGAGGGCATATTATGCGCAGGGCACATGCTCAGTGCTTCCACAAACTGCTCCCCCCCAACACCTTTACACCGACAGACCTTGAGGCACACCTTGCTCACCAATGCAATGCCTCCTCCTCTGATCGGTGGCGTCCACCCCCAGTCCCAATTCTCTCAACCGGCCCCCTGTTCACTACACTCCACCTATCGAATTTCCCTTCATGGTTTTCCAGATGTTTGAGTCTCACCTTCCAGCTCTAGAGTCTCAGAGAAAGTGTGCCCCAAGACCTTGGAGAGAAAAACCTTCCGGGATGGGGGGCGGAGGAACTGGTGACTGGCTTCCCGTGGGTTCTCCTGCCACAAGTAAGCTGCCAGGGTGGCAGCTTACTTTCTGTTTTCCCCCAGTTGCACTTCCTGGTTCACTTCCTGGTTCTGGTCTTGCACAATGCTAGGAACTAGGCCTTGGGGAGTGGGGGTGGGGTGGAAGGACAGGGAGGGACCACACAGAACCCCCCCACAGAGGCTTAAGGGTGGTTTCAGCAGGAGAAAGGACAGGGCGTGTTTTCGCCACAGGTTGAAGTAGAACTGGGCCAGCTGTCCTTGTCCTTAGCCTGACCCTCTGATCTGAGCTCTTCACCTTAAGGCCCCGCCTCCAACTCCCTGCTCTACTACCCAACGGACTGCCCAGGTTTCAGGCTACCCTCCGGCGTGCATGGCTGCACCTGTGGACACCCTTTTCAGCTTCGATAGTCCCCGAGTGTCTGAGACCCACACTCTCTAGGGCCTGGCTAAGGGTGTGGACCTGGCCAGGGGCCAGCAGGGAGCAGGAACCTGACTGCCAGAGGCTACTTGGCTGGCGCTGAG